CTGAATGTACAGAGAGGACGAGGTCTTACCACCATGGCCGATGCGCTCCGGTGGAGGTCCAGAGTCGCTCCGGCGGTCGCCGCTGCCGTCTTGTATCGCTTCGCACTAGAGCTCAGGTTGCCGCTGTCGTCGCCGCCACTGGTGTGAGTGGGGAAGAGGGGAGAGAGCGGTAAGGAAGGGAGGTGAGGGTAATATGACGACATGTCTGGAAACAACGCGACGTGTCGGGACCACACACACTCGTGCTACCGCCCACACCCACGTGCGTAGGGTTGCACCGCGCGGGCCTGGCTCTACAAAAACGGCAGATTTGAGCGTTCCTTTGGATGCAGGCCCAGAGATGCTTTAATGTTCATGTTATGCAGGCCCAACAGTGAATGCGGGTAACCAAACGGGCCTTTGTCTTTCCGTGTGAGCCTGGCTGAGGTATATGCAACCTACCAAACACATCCCATATGTACGCCATTTTTTGTCTTGTAAAGAAAATGTGTGCGTCAACTTGTAGTTGTATGTCTTCTCCCTCCATTGTAACAAGAAGTGAATTTGCGTGGGTTTTCTTTTCTCTAGTACTTGGTCGTACCATGAATATAGTTCACCATGTCCACAAATATAAGTATGTTTCGGGTATTTCAATATATTAAAATAAATGAACAAACACACTAAAATGTGTTTATATACAGAGAGCAGCGTTTTGGCTCCCGAGCCCAGCTGCTCCTGCTATCTATACCATTCAATAGAGCATCGTGATGTGAGCCAAATTCAGTTTTTGAGGAAATACCACAGCCTATACGCAAAAGAATACATAATGTACTAACATATACCATGTACAGGAAGCCAACTGTCAGGCACTCAGCGTCCTCCCTTGACGTCTCTCTCTCTGTAATAATGGCCAGCCGGCTGCTGCCTCCGAAGCTGACCTCTCCCTCTGCTCCGGTGCTAGATCAAAGCGTCAATCCGTCCTTCTCATGTGCAGGCCTGCAGGCTGCGGCAACAAACACGAGCTGGACGAAAGATTGAATTCATTATCCATTGTCCTGATGAATTTAATTACATTCACGATAATATAACGTGCTGAGATGCACTAGCGCGTTGGACAGGAGCACTATGGATTCAATTTCTCTTCCTCCATCATGTTTCCTTCTCTCACATATCTGTAGTGTTACATGCCTACGTCTGAGCAACACGGCTTCACCGACGAGCCGGTGACGGAGGCACCTACTTAAGAGACTAGCAGCGGCTAGCTTTGTCGTACCTTGTGCTGTTTCAAATCAGGGCTGATAATTTGTTGGGAGGTGCAACTCTGGCTCCAAAAATTTCTAACAGGCTCATCTTCTCCGTCTGCTCTGGCGTGAGCGTGCAGGACAGCCGCGTCCACGGCGGACACGGCAAAGACGGCTGCGCACCGTACGAGGGAGCCTACATGGAACTTGGGTAGCCGTCTACAAGTCGCCAAACGGCGGGCTATCGAGGGCAACTTGCCGTGCGAGCGCATCGCTTGCAGCAATGGTAGTGTCTTCGCAGCCACCGCTGACGTCCAACCGGAGGAGCAGGCGCCTGAACACGAGGTGGTGCCTTCGCGCCCATGGCGGCGACGGTGACTACCAGCATGAGCGCACTTAGCAGGCTTCTTGCGTCAGGTCAAACTGTTAGAGCTGGTGCGCCTCCACTCGTCGTGAGCGTCCATGGCAGCAGCGCCGACGGCCGGCATGGGGAGCACGCGCAGGAAATCATGAGAACACCCGGGTAGGTAGCGAATAAATGAACATGCGCCATCCGGCCATGTGTGGGCTGTCCTTCCCAAAAAAATGACTAATACATCCATATACGGGAGTAAATACGTGCACCATCCCTAATCCCGAGGCTGACTCGTGGCATAGATATCGAGAGCATCTCAGCTCGGGCACCAAATTGCATTTCCGTTATATACATTCATTTTTTTGAAAAACCCCACCCATATATTAATTAATTGACACAAATGTTCGTACAATCATTCGTTACAGCTCTTGCCACGCAGGGCGGAACACTATTAATAAGAATACCATCAGACCTATTTATAAAACTAAATTTTGCAATCTCACGCGCCACCATATTCGCCTTCCTGTTAATCTTGGTGATTTTTAAAGTACTCATCATCTTGGAGACACTCAACGCTTCCTTCTTCAAATCAAGAAGGTTTGACCTGTCCAGGTTATCATTTGCAAAAAACCGAGGCCACAAAAGAACAGTCAGTTTTTAAAATAATGGGCTTGTGAAGAGTGATACCAATGTAAAGGCCTGAGATGGCTGCTCGAAGTTCCGCTTCATCAACACAAAGACATGAACCAATATAATCCCAAGAAGAAATAAGAACTTCTCCAGAATGATTTCTAACAACCACCCCAACGCTCGCTGCACTAACGGCCTCCACAAAACTTGCATCA